AGTTTGGCCAGGATCACACGCAACTTTTTAATGTGCTATCCTCCAATAAAAAACGCAATTATTCAGACGGATCCCAGCCCCTAAAAATCCCTACTACAAATCATTTAGCAAAAAGAAATTTGTAAAAAGTTTTAAATTTGGAACAAACAGCCCGAAATCGAAATGGTTTGGCCAAGATCACCCGCAACGTTGAACGTGCTATCCTCCAATAATGCAATAAACAGTAAAAAATGCAATTCTTCGGACGGATCCCAGCCCCTGAAAATACCTAACACGAATCGTTTAGCAAAAAATAAGGTGTTTAAATTTTTAAATTTTGAAAAACAGCGCAAAATTTGAATGGTTGGGCTAGGATCACACGCAACGTTTAAACATGGTGTTCGCCAACGACAAAGTAATAATAAACTTACCGGAAGCTGCATTGTGCCACCTGAAAAGAAGGAAAAAATCTGTAGTATCAGATAAACTTAGTCTAAAACCCAGTTATTTGATTGAAAAGAAGAAAAATAGAGAACTGAATAAAACTTTAATTATTTCTCGAAAAACTAAACTCAATTTAAGTTAAAGGTTTGTAGATTCCTTCTTACCTGCTTTCTGCAAACTGGCTCGCATCCTCGATTGTCTATCCATTAATCCGCAAAAAGCACACACTATAAATGGCACTAAGTTGGTACATTTATCCCGTTTGTGAACAAAGAACCTACGACCGGTTTCGTCCGTTGCACATAATAGACTGAATTAAATGTCCAGGCTTTAAGAAAAAACTCATGCGATATTAGGGTGTTTATAACATTAAAAACGCACCGAGCTACAGAACTTACATAATTATATAATCGTTTGCTGTGGCCCTTCGGATGACTAATTCTATTGCTATGCTGTTCGATTTCGATATAGTTTTTTTCCTATTGGCGATTTTCTAGAAATTTCCAGCCCGCGATCGAACTGGTTTGGATATTTAGCGTAAACAAAGTTGCTTTCTCGGCCAAAGATAAACAAACATTGCCGTTCATGCTGCGACTTTTGTATGCTGAATTAAATACCCGCTCCCGCTCAATCTTTTGCTCAATTTGCATGAAACTTGAAAATCTTTTTAGCTTGATCTGTTGTGAGAGTTGTTAGCAGATCCACCAAAATCAAAGTAAAGCAAGCATTCACAAACCATGCCATGATTTGTGAATGATTCACTTTGATTGCACTATTAAGAGCGATGGAATTTGATTTTCACACGAGCTCTCACACCAGACTTATGCTCCATTTTTATTAAACTGTGTGTTTTTTTTTATTTTTTTATGGCGTATGAGTTTCTACAGCTTGACATGTTGTGCCTAAAAGCCAAATTCACATTCAAGTCAAATCAGGATTTATGAATCTTTTCCTCTACTCGCATTATTGAAAGCGACGGAATAATTAACTGGCTTTTGACACGAACTCTCGCATCCATCTTTCGCAATATTTTAAAAAACGCTTCCAAATTCTGCATTTTACAATTGAATTTGTTAAAGTGATTGAAGAGTGAGGGAATTTACTTATAGAAAAACTTGAAATTTTTTACAAATGATGTTTTACATAAAACAAAAGGCGCATTTTAAAGCTTATCCCTGATGACAACGAGCTTTCTTGCTCAGCTGGTTCTCTCATAATGGGCCAAAACTACCAGCGTTTTTGAAAATCCCAAGTGATTTCGGGTTATTGCTCTTTGCGTGAAAACTAAAAATATTTGTAGAATAATATTTTATATGAGCCGTTTTCTTTGAAAGTTTTGAAGTGTATTTTATTTAATATGTAGATACATTAAAGGTTTCCATTCGAAAATTTAAAAAAATCTGGTTACTTGTTATTACACTAATTTTGTGTTTTTTCATATATTAAATTGATTTAACTTTATAATGTAAACTTTTTAAATCGTGATTAACAAAAATTTATAGCCTTAATAACTTCAAAAAGACTTCCACTACTTTTAAACATCAGGAAGCAAATATCTTACATTTACAAAAGATTAACATTGGGATCTCAATTGAAACAAAGCAATTTCTTTGCATAAAGTGTTTATTAAATAGTTCAACAATAAAAAGAAAGAAACATTTACTGCATTGGTTAATCGTTGCGACAATGTGTAGATGAGTGACTTTTGCAATAAGAAAAGCTCTTTTGCGTTTGGTCACTTTTATAGTTTGTTCATAATTGCAACTGTTACAGAGACAAATTGAATAAAAAGATTACTTGAAATTCACTACATGAAAGTAAACTTATCTATTATGATGAAGAACTTCAGTATTAGTTTTTTTTTTAATAGAAAAGGGACACAAATATTTTAAAAATACTAAAAATGTAATAATTGGAAAGTTTACCGAATGTTACAAATTTGAGGTGTTAACATTGGGATCTCAAAAACTATAAGACATACTAAGTCAGTGAAATTGGAACAAAGTTGCACATTTCGGTGCTTAACAAAATCTTGAAAGTTTGTTTTGAAAGAGGGAAATTTTCTACTACATATTTTCGAAAATATTAAAAGAAACCCGGAATGAGCTCGGAAGAATAACTTTTGATCAAAAAATTTTTTTTTAAGATTTTGAAATTATTGCCAGATTATTGAACAAATTTTGACTCTACAAGATTGTAGTATCAGATCTGGGATGAAATATTTTGTTCTCGGCCCACCAGCATCAACTTTATGAATTCTACGGGCCGCCAGTAATGGGCAATCAATGTATTTTTTTCACACATAGTGTGTGGTTTCACAATATCAGAATCATATAATTGTTTATCAAAACTTGTAAGTACGCTCCTAATTTTCAATTAATTCCGGTATGCTGACAAGATTTGGAGTTCAGGTACTCAAATTTTTAACTTAAAATCATAAAGTTACCATCTTTAGCGCTTTAAATATTCAAAGTATTGTCCGTTTGGGTTTTGTGCAATTTTTGAACGTAATTCATAAACTTTCCCTTCAAGTGAACTGCGCTATTACTACATTCTTGTAAGCCGCATATTTTATTGCACCCCACACCTACAGCAAATAAAATAAAATAAAATAAAACAGCACACCTGCAAGATTCACTTTTATTTCAATATACAACAAGATTGTTCGAAGACACTTGAAGGTGTTATAACAACCCTTTTAAGGATTTAAAAATATTATTTACAACATCACAGATGTTTTTTTTGATGCGAAAAATCATCTACGTATTTATCATAGTTTATACAATAATAAGTTTAGTCTTAATCTAACACTTCAACATTGGTATGTTTAGTTATACATACACAAAATATATGGCGCTGTAATCTCACAACCCGAAACCGATTTAATATCAAATTGAGCTTTTTCTTTACCGGAAATCTGGTGGTCTTATAGCTTCAGAACTGGTAAAATTTGGGTCAATTCAATTCTTTATTTGAAAAAAATGAACTCAATTTGTTCCTATTATAGTTAGCCCTCATGTGATTCTACTGAAAAGCATAACAAGTTGAAAAACGTTTCTTGAAATTTATGCAAAAGCAGCTTTCAAGTAAATTGTCGCTCATTACCAATACATCGATAAGTACGCCTAACAATATACATTGATGAATTTTTATCGTTATAATACTATTTACCACATCTTTAGTCACACCAATTGAATCTGGTTTACAAGTAGGATCCGAAAAGGATAATACTAACGAAGTAGACAAATTTTGCATAAATGTAAATTTTTATCTACAATACCAATATCAAATTAATCTTACATAGTAATAATTAAGGATAGGTATAGATTATATAAAAAAAATATTTATAAAAAATACATTAATTCGATAGGACTAAGGTCCAGTACTGCATATTTTTAAAACATATACATGCAAGTCTGAAACGATTTTGCAACAAAAAAAAACAAAAAAATTCCTATCCAGATTATAATTAGATAGTATAAAATTGATTCAAAGCAGGTATAAATTATTGAAATTTGGATGTAGATTCTTCCGAAATCTTTTGAAGCCGGTGCGAGCGGCCAATATACGTGTTGGTACTCGATTTATTATATTTTAAATTTATGTTTCAAAACGTACTATTGAAAAAAGATAAATCAGAAAACTTATTGAATAATTGTCTGTCTAATTTTTGTTTGTTTTAATTACGGTTTCACAGGCGATTTTTAAGAGAAGAAAGAAGGAGCTTTATTAGGGTGTTTTTTTAAGAAAATATCACCTCTTTTTAGACACAATTATAAGATCCAAACACATTTTCAACAAGGTTCTCCTTTTACGAAAACTTGTCATTTTTTAGTGCACGTTTCTTAGACATATTTTACAGGACAATTTTTGAGATTTTCTGAATACATTTTGCTTCTTAAATATTAAATATTAATAACTGAAAATGTAAATTTTTAGTTAGTAACAACTATAAGTTCTTAACTCATTTTCATCAAGGTTTTTATGTTAGTTGTAGTTGCACTTTTTTAGTTCAAGGTCCTTAAGAATGTGATTTGCTCAAAGGTGCTAAATTTTATATACATTTTAGTTTAACTTTTACATAATAACTCCACTGGCAAATGTGTTACTTCATTCGTTTCAGAAGAATGAAAGCTTGTTAAAAATGGCAATATATGACAACATAATAAGGAATAATTGAAATACAACAAAACAAAGTCGATGAGATGTTTGATATCTTTAATTTTAGGGAATTTTGTCCCAAAATACTAAAATTTTTTAATAACGTAATTTGTAATATTTAAATAATGGTCAGTACGTCAGTAGTAGAAATTAAGAAAGTTTTTAATAACTTTCTATAATCTCGCTTGCTTCTAGATCATCTAAAACGCGTTATTTATGCAAAAATAACGAAGCTAATACAATAAATTCGTAACATCCTAAATGTATTTGCACATTTAATTGCAACTTTTTGTAAAAGCAAAATCTTGATGGAAAAAAGTGTTTGGAACTTATAGTCGGGTCTAAAAATACGAGATATTTTCGTAAAAACGATTTAAAAAACGCCTTAATAAAGCTCCTTCTTTTTTTGCTAAAAAATTGCTTGTGAAAACGTAAATAAAACAAAAAACAAAATTTAGAATGACAATTATTCATTCTCTTTCACGTTTTTGAAAATAAAAAATGTATAATTTGCTTATTTAAAGTAGAATTCGCTTATTATCATTTTGCATGCAAGCACCGAAGGTTTCAAATATATTTTTATTGTTAATTTCCAAATAAGCATAGAAGAAATAATCGGAGATCGTATAAATTGAAGCAAATTTTAGTTTTGACGTTGAAAAAAAAATCTAATGTGCAGGCTGCAGCTAAATCTTCGAAAGTATTAAAGAGGTCGTAAGCAAAATCTAAAAAATAGTAAATGTTACATTTTTCCAAACTATTAATTGTCAATAACAGATACATTTAAGGGAGGTTAAAGAAGAATATTAAGGAATAATCGGAAACAAGTTATATTACAAAAGGTATGTCACAAAGAGTAATTTTCACATGGCGAAACTTTAAAATAGCATTTAAAACGAAATGATTAATAAGTTAGTTTCAGAGTGGTACCTACTTAATTTAATAAGACTAGTAAGTATAGTATAGGAATAATAAGTAAAACTTTTGTTTTAAATCCAAACAATAATCGCTTGCTGGTATGGTTCTTTCAAAATCAATTAAAGTTTGAGAGATTGTTTGCTCAGCACATGGAAGCTTGTTACCCATTTAGTTCATTCTCTTGTAGGTATATAAAATATAATCGCCCAGGCGAACAATGTGGCGCTCATTTATCTGTTTCATTCAACTTTTTTTGCAATTTTACTAAAAATGAAAAAGTTTTTCCTTATTTCAATCGTGCTTATTCTTGACTTTTCTTTTGTTAATACGTTTTTATACTTCGGTCTATTTTTAATTTTTTTTTGTTGATATGAATTGATTTCAAATACGCGATTTGTAGTCGTTTTACTAGCGCTATAAGTTATTGAATTCTGCAGTGAACGATCAGACCTAAGATTGTCGGCCTGGCGCTTTTATATCTCTTCTCTTTGAGCTGATTTTGGAAGAAACATAACAAATTAAATCCTGTATCATACACCGATTGCTCATTCAATCACTTTGCCTAATTGGTAACATACGTCGATTATAAAACAGGTAAATTAACTGAAATCACACAATTTCTACGGATGTAAAGTACGTAGAACATGATATGTGCACGTCGCAATATATCTACGAGTAGATCAAAAAAGGTTCAATTTCGGTCATAATCTGGCAACGTTTCTGATTTTTCTGATATTTTCCAGCCGGTACTCCAATAACGCGAATGGTATGACTGATATTATCATAACGAGCGCTAACAGATACAGTTTCATATAATTACATAGAAAACTATGGAGTAGAAAAGCTATGGACAATCCTATAAACTTGAAGAATGCTCGATTGGCAAATGCTGCCTCCCAATGGTCCAAATACTGACCTGTTAATAAAGCTAAAAAAACGATAGTTTATCATTCAAATGCGAGAACATAGTTATTAAACGAAAGTTGTATTATAACTTAATTATACAGGGTTATTCACGCTATACGGCACGGA